GTGTGTGTGTGTGTGTGTGTGTGTGTGTGTGTGTGTGTGTGTGCAGGTGCCCAGATTTTATGTGCTCAGATTTATGCATACAAAAAAAAGCATTGAAGGAGTCTCCATTTGTATGTTTGTGTGTGTGGGAAAGTGTGTGTTTGTGCCCCCTCATCTGCACTTGGAGCAGCCGTTCGCAGCCCGTATTTGATTGAGTGAAGGCCAACGCAGCCTGAACACTCCCTCTAATGGAAGAGTGGAGCCCAGCAGCTCAGTAATGCACTGACCCCAGAGCTTTTACAACGCTGCCAGCCGATAAGTGGCAATATGCAGGATCTTATAAAATTAACAAGACTGAGCTATGGGAAGTGGGTGCTCTGAAGGTGGCAGTAGGAGAGGATGACGATCATATAGCACTTGTAAATATCAGCATATGTGCATGGAGGGATTGTAGCTTTTTCCTGACTGAGTTTTATAGTCATGGCAGTGGGATTAGCAATTTTTTTCACCCATTTCTTGGCTTTTTTAAGGGAAGTTTACGGCTAAAGGTTTACAGGCCCGTTTATGTTAGATAAAACATCCCTCAAGGCATTTTAATGCTCGTGAATTTATGGAAGCTGCCTTGGAGACAGGTGCGCAGGAGTCTAACACAGAGCAGGCCTTCAAAGTGATGGCAACTGGATCCCTGCCAGCATTTCCTCTGCAGGACACCACGAGGGGTGTGAACATGTGTGCATATGTTTATCATACATTCTCAACCTTCCAAATCTGTGCTGTGACATCCACAGCAAAGATTCAAAGTCAAATGGCCCCTCTGCCAGGTTGCTCACATCTATTGTGTTACGGGTGAAGAGTGCCTGAATGTCTTCAAGTCTTCTTGAGGAAAACTTTTACTGCCATTGCCACAGTTTCAGCCTAATCTGATTCTTTCCAGTGAAAGGCTTTATAGAAAACATCCTCCCAGTCCAAACTCCTCACCTTTCTCACACCCTCAGAGACTGGATGCGTGTGTGCGCGCGGGAAGGCTTTTTTGTGTGCATTTCCACCTTATACTGTGCATTTATGTGCAAGTGTGTGTGGCTATTGTCTGCCAGTGCTCCAGCAGGGGCTTCAAAGTGAATTATTCATGCGAGATTTGAATACATGCAAATGGTTCACTCCCCTCCCTTGGCACAGATCCAGGTTACCTATGGCAACGGCGCCTTCAAGAAGCATCCTTCCACCCCTCCTCCTCCTCTTCTTCCTCCGCCCGCTTCTCTCAGGCACCCGCCCTCCAACCATGTTATCTAGCCAGTCGCATTGTTTCGACTATTGCAGTACCTGGGTGGGTGGCTGCACACTGTAGGGTGGCAGGATATCCCATAATTCATAGTCAAGGTCATAAAGGTAGGGAGGGTGGGCGAGAAAAGGTTGGCAGACGGAAAGAGGGCAGCATCCCTCCATCCAGCTCGGATGGGAAGTTCAGGAGACAACACCCAGCCGGCGGTGAAGAATAGAAACAGTTTTTGGGTGCCGAATAATGCGACAGACTGGGGACACACACACTCATATAATTCAGAGTTACTCAGAGCTCATGCGTACCCGCAGCACAAAAAAACAGGATAAGATGGAGGAAAGATTTGAACAAAGCCATCTTCTTCTTAAATATATTTGAGAAAACAGTTTAGAATGACAACTAAAATGTAAAAGTGTCTTAAATATTAAAAATATAAATAGTATTGCAAAGTAATATTCTATCTCAAATCAGTTCCTTTTTTACAAAAGGTTTAGGTGAATGTATTTAAGACGTCGTTTAAATTATGTTTTGTAATTTTTATTTAATTTCGTTTGTTTACTTACAACTGCTTTTCGTTTCTGGCTATTTTTCATTTGCTGAGTGATTTTACATTTTTTGTTGGGTTTTTTTGTTTTGCTTTGTTTTGTAATAAAGTTTATTAAAATAATACAAACATTTTTAAAAATAAATAAAATTCCCAAATATTAAATATAGAGAAAAGTTATACTGGGATCATATATTGAGGGAAAAGATACAGCACATCAAACATTTATACAGTGTTTAAGCATGTTAATTAACCTTTTTGGGATTTATAATTTTAATTTCTCTATATTTTTTAACTGAATAAGTAACTAAGCTGCATGTATGTGTTAAATACAACTCATAAAATAACAGTGAAAAAGCTTCTAAATGAACAAGAGAACAGGTCAAGTTCAGGCCATGAGGTGATCAGAGCCTAAATATTCCCCATTATAGGCCAGGCTGTGCAGGGAAAGTAGCTGCTCAGTGCTGCCATCTACTGAAAGTAAAGGAGGACCAAGCAACACATATACTCACCCGCCACTTTATTAGGTACGCCTATTTACACGTCTCTGGGTCCATCACACCTGTTCGACTGGGGGAATTTCCCCACATAGCCGTCTATACGGTTCACAGAGAATGGTCACAAAAAAAAGAAAATATCCAGTGGCAGTTCTACAGGCAAAAAATGCTTTGTTGATGTCAGAAGTAAGAGAAGGAAGCCAGCAGTGACTCAAATAACCATTCAATACAACCAAGCACGCAGAAGAGCATCTCCATGGGCTGAGTGCCACCCCTGTCAACTATGAATGTTTTTCAAACTTGAAAAGCAGACGACTGGAAATACGATGCCTGATCTGGTGTGAGTTCTGTTACTATTTTGGTGTGATCAGGTTTTTGACATAAACAGCATGAAAGCACGGCTCTATCGATTCAAAGGTTCAAGGTCACTTAGTACCAGCTTCATATAGTTTAAATGCCGCAGCCTACCCGACCACAGGTGCAGCTCATGTCCATCCCTCTACAAGTACAGTCTACCTATCTTCTGATGGTGGCTCCAGCAAGAAAATGCACCATGTCACAAAGAACAAATCATCTCAAATGACAATGAGAATCAGTCAGCAGATCTCAATCTGATAAAGCACCTTTTGGATGTGGTGGAACCAAAGATTTGTATAATGGATGTGAAGCAGACAAATCTGCAGCAACTTATCAATATGGACCAAAATCTGTGAGGAATGTTTCCAGGGCCTTTTTGAACCTGCACCATAATTAAAGCAGTTCTGAAGGGAGAGAGAGTCCAGTAAGGTGTACCTGAAATGTCCAATAAGTGTTTTTAAGTCTATTTAAACTTTGATAAGTGACACAATAGACCAGTCTTTGAGGAACCCAATGTAAACAAAACACTTATGACAATGAAAAAGCATTTTATTGGTAGTACAACCATTAGTGAAGGCTTTTCTTCAGCCATGTAAAACTGATCGAACATCAGTGATTTAAATCTGCTCTTGAATGCTGATGACAGCACCATTAGCTTTACTTGTTACATGGCCCCCTCAAGTGGACAAAAGGATTCATTGCTTAATGGTGTGGATGGACCCTTTAATGGAAAGACAATCTTAAAAAGAAAAACACACACAAAAGAACGAAATTTACATCACTGGATATGATCCATCTTTGAAATATCCATTTACTGTTTAATTTATTTTTATTTAAAAGAAGAAAAAAAAAGAAGACCAAGTTAAGTGTGTTATGTTTAGATTCTGAGTAAACAATGATTTACAAGCAAGTACAAGCAATGTGACAACAGTAAAGTAAAAAAGCAGAAATGTCAAGAACATGCAAATAACCCCAAAATCTGTCTTTTGTTTAGGTTTAAGGTTTGATTAACGTCCACTTATTAGACATAAGTACTATAAATTCACTGCACCTCAGTGCTGCATGGAAAGTGAAACTGCACAGTCCTGCTGACGTGATCACCCTCTTTCACTCCATCAGTCCACATTGGCACAGTTACACAATTTGATGAAATTCAAAGACAAAGAACACTGGGTACTCAGCCTTCATTACAAACAATACCTTATTTAATCAGGCTATTTAATACTAACGAAATGAAAGCGCTTATTTAAAATCAAAATTTGTCTCCTAATTTAAAGGTTTCAAACTCATTGTGTTCTCTGTAATGATAATGGGTCAAACTGAAAGAACATTGCATGTTTAATAAAGTGCAAATATTTTCTCCATACTGATGCAATCAAAAACACACCTGGCTGTTCACTGCTTTAACCTTCACAAAGGTATTATGATTTCACAACAAAGCTCAGATTGTGTGAACAATTTCAAAATACTTTTTTGTCTCTTCGCTTTCTTTGAAAGTGCATTTTTCAAAGTCTGAGATAAAGCCTATCTGTGTGAACAGCAGATCTCCTGTCCATTCTTCTGACATGCTGCCTTAAGGGAACAGGGGTGTGCAACACAATAGTCCTGCAGAGGCCAGAGACATATTATTGCCATCCCACAGACCTGACAACCTCTCTTATGCCAGTCTCATCTGTGCCATATGTTACGCCTATGTTGTTCCCACATGATTCAGTGGATAAAGTTGCCCATCTGGTGCAATTTGAGCAAAAGGTTGTGCGTAATGTCGAATGTGGTGAAACTTATCCCCACTGCAACGGGCCCTTTCACCCAGTTCATGCTCAGGCCTTTGTACAGTCCGCGTATAACTCCCTCGTGAGTCACGATCTCACGCATGGTTCCCAGAATGGTGCTGTAGGACGAACCGATAACTCCGGCTGTCTGCATGCGCCGACGTACCACATCCAGGGGGTACGACGCCGACTGTCCAATCAGGCCTGCACAGGCACCGAATGCCAAGCGCTCATAAGGGTAAGGCTGGGATCGCTTTGTCTTCTCTGAATTGAGAAAAACACCAACAGAGAAATGCATGAAAAAATTGATAAGTGAAAAAACAGATGTATGTATGTTTTCAACTTTACTGATTTGAAAAGAAAAAGCCTCAATGGTCAGTACCTGAATGTAATTTTTTGAGGGTCTCGTAGGTAAAGAAAGTAATTCCTGCATATGGGATAACACCTAAAATAGTGGGGGTGAAGCCTCGGTAAAGTGTCCTGACACCCTCCTCCTGGGAGATCCGCACAAAGACATGCATGATGTTACTGTACCTGTTGAAGGAACACATGGCAGGCAAGACATCATTTACCAAGCTGACACAAACCTTTTTGTGTTGTGTGATACTGTAACATTCAGCAAACAATGAAGTGTGCTTCATCCATTCCACTGGGAAAGACATGGTGAGGTACACTTTTGCGTGTTATCACAATTGTTAGGTACTTACATTTCTCTGGCAGTCACTGCCATCCTGGCTCGTACCATGTCCAGTGGATAGGTAAGCATAGCAGCAGTTGTACCAGCCAGAGACCCAGCCAGGAAACGTGGAAAAGGAGGCAGAGCTCTGAAACAACCAGGATAATAGTATACAGACAGAATGAGCAAACTAAAATCAAAGAAACACACTAATAATGCTAGAGGCTCTCTGATGCTGTATTTCAGCGTCAGAAATTTTGACCTGACGATGGGTCGGATTTGACAAAACTCTATTAAGAGTTTCAAGATAGATTGCCAGTCATGAGAACCCAATAACAAACAAAGTGAGTGATTTATAGTGACATCTCTAGAATCATCCTGCTAGCACAGCTAAAAACTAGACAGGCTTATAAACTGTAAATATAGTGTATGGATATAAATTGCTTACTCACTTGCCCTGGAAGCCGTAGCTGCTCCCCAGCAGTCTTTTGTACTGTTCATGTGAGCAGAACTGGATGGCAGCATAGGGCATGACCCTCACCATGGTCGCAGAGTTTCCCCTCCACAGACTGAACAGCCCACCCTCTATGTATGTAGAGTAAATGACCCTGAAAGCCTCCTAGATTAGGAACAAGGGTACAGTCCGGTCATGTTTTCCGCGCCTAATCATCTTATCACGATCAGGATAACGACATTATATAGTCAAGCTAACCAAGCTTACGAAAATGTGTGCAACTTGAGAATAAGAACATATAGAATATTAGCACTGCAGTAGTCTTCTAGCTAATGGTAGCATTCTTTATTACTGATTTATTTGCTGCTTATAAATCAAAAAAATAACATTATTTACTTTGCATGTTTTTGTGCTACCTAAATCAAAAATACTCTGCTACTAATGTTTCAAAATGAAGAAAAGCAGGCGACTACTCCTATGCAAAAATCCACAACACTCCTTTGTTTGTTATTTGTATTTTCTTATCATTACATTCATGAATTAACCTGCATCAATCTGCAACTTATCAGTTCCTGACTCACTGATAGGACAGATGCCTGAACTCACCTTAGCTGAGAATCTCTTTGAGGACACTGTGAATAAACAACAGAGACACAGTGAACCTCAAGGCTAAAAAATACACACTCTCCCACATAAGTTAAACATCTACTAAGAGGATTAGTAATTAGTCAGGAACACTTAGCAAGAACTCTGGCACAAACAGAATGCAGCCACAAACAGTGGCTGCATTTATGGTGACACCTAATACACAAAACAGAGGTTAAGTCGCTAACATGCCAACCTATATTCTTTCCATATTTGCCACATTGTCACACTTACCTTGGAAAATTATTTTGGTGCGATCCAGAGGTGCAATAACTGTTTTGGCGATAGCTCCGGCAAACGCACCACATAACAGGGATTCCAGAGCAGACCAGCTAGGCCTCACATCCTGCTTGAAAACATTTTGTTATTTAGTGCTGACGTTACCATAACTTCCCATTTCTTCAAAATATTACGCTGGCTTTTAATGGAGGACCAAAAAAAAGTTTAATTGTTTATCTGGGTTTATTTAGCTTTCTAATCCTCATGTACTGCATAAGAAACATCACATGTTTATTAGCACGCAGGCTCCCACGTTTATGCGACAGCAGAAATCCGCATTTTGGTTAGAGACAAAAATTTCACAGTTATGAAAGAATCACAAAAGATAACAATTCACAAGACCAGGAGCTGTTTGTGTGTGCAAGACCGTGACGTGAGTGGGACAGTTGAACCCAATAAACACTCCCAACTGATAAGAAGAGCATTTGAACTGAAGAACAAAGATGCTGCATTATTACTATGATGATTGCAGATTTAACTGCTGTAATTTAACTTTAGCAAATAAAATTAAAATCTGTTTTTCAGGTTCAGTATTTTAAAACTGACTTTGTACTGGTGTTCAATAAGGAAACAAAAGCTTTAGGCCATTAAAAATCCACTATTACAGCAATCCTAACCATGTGAAACTACTGGAAATATGAATAATTATTCTGGTTACTCAATATTATCCACCCCATTGCTTTGTAAACAAAGACCAGCTTTGGATTATGTGGCAACTCTCTGCTATTTAAAGCACATAGCAGAAGACACTTGTCCTTCAGATGGTGTTATAAGGAAGACTGTACTAGATCTCACAATAACAACAGCACTTCCGTATAACTGAGCTGGATTTGAGAGAGTTGCAAGGCAGGCTTTGTTTCAGGTTTGATCATAATCATAAATAGATATTTTGTTTATTTATTTATTTTCGCAGCTGGTGCCTTTAAAAAATGCTGCTGTAATGCTCATCACCTGATGTGACTGACTAATAGATGACAGGCAGGATGTGATGATCACAGACTGCAAAAATATTAGTTTGTATGCAGTTATAAACGTGTTTATACACAGTCATTAGGCTCGATATGGACTCATATTTTGACTCTTCTTCTGTAAACAAGATGACTCAAACTTTAAATGCCAACCCCACCCTGGCATGCTCAAACAAGACTGTATCATCAATCACCTGTTTTTAAGTTTAAGGCATGAATAGAAACAAATCCTCACCTTTGCTTGGCTGGCTGGTGGCAAAGTCAACACAGTGGCCTGAGCCACTGGCAGCCTGTGCTGACGGTCCTGCAAACGATGGGCCATGTCTCCCCTTTAAGGGTTACCAAGGGCTGCCAAACACCCGACTGCTCATTCAATAAACAAAACAAAACACTGCAGACAAAGAGAAATATAGCGAAATATGTCAAGGATATGACAGTTGAGTTCAACACTACACAGCCCCTTGTGTCGCAGTCCCTCTCTATATGTACTTGACGCGAGTACGTGCTTGCACGCACGCCCATGTTCTGCACAAACAGTCTGGCTTGTAAACAGAGTATTGCATTACCGAGGATCGATCCATCGCTATTCTCCATCATTGATCCGAGTAATACTAATCATCACACTTGCTGATTATTCTCTAAAACTGATCCAACAACTTAGTGACCTCACCTCGAATCAAATGAATAAACCTTATCCATACAAACAGTGCATAAACAAGCTTGTGTCTGTGCAGTTAAATCTATTTGCACGACGACTGATTATCTCATTTGTTACCTTCGTCTGTGTTCAAAAAGAACTCCGTGTTTGGAAATCTTCGACGTGATAAATCAGTCTGACCTGGTGTCTGATGCACACATGTGTTGTGTTCTCGCACAAACTTGAACCTTGAACACGCTTCGAGGTCTTTCTGCACGTCTTCTCACGATGTTGACGTTTCTGGAGATGGCTATTAAAAAATACACAAGTGTCAAGCAGCGCAAAGGGTGTTAATCCTTTAAAAAATGACGTCTGGGTCAAAACTGCACTCGGAGCAGCACCCTGCTTCTACGCAGGAGATTATTTAGGCTTTTCAGCGTCTTAAAGAAAAAAATTGGGACGGCTTATAACATTATTTTGACTACAATACCCAAGAGCTAATATAGGTGTTGTAGTAAAGTCTCGCGAGATTGGCCACAACATTGGGTTGCCAGGTTTTGCCAACATTTTTAATAGTCACTACATTTTTGTACATTGTGTACATTTTCTTTTCCTTTTTTTTGACGTTTAAATTCTGTTACAATCATTTTCTTCATCGCCTTTGTGTCCCGTTTATTTTAGTTTATTGGAAAAAAATGTTTACATTCTTCAAGAATAGTTGTTTGGACTGCTCAGTTTACCTAACTAACATGCTCAAACATATAAAAAACTAAAACAAAAGGCAGGAATAATCAAATGTGCTGTTTGGAAATGGGCTCAAATACTTACCACAACTCCAAATTGACTGATTAATTAATCTACTGATCAGTTGATCCCCCCGGGAAACAACTTACCCCCTAAATAACTTACTGCATGTCAACTTAGAAGAAATTTTTTTTGTGTTGTGAGTTCACATGGGCACTTGGAATAGCTGTGTTTGATATGTAAAGCCATACTTTGTCAGGCACAGGGAAAGAAAACTTAATATATTGAATAAGAGTAATACATCAAAAGTTACAGCCTGATATTGATATTTAAGCAACGGTGTCTGAAGTAAAATGCAATTAGATAAAGTATTTACTTCTAATAAACTCATCGTGATTTTAGTTCGTAGTCAAACATAATTTAAGGTTTACTAAACAGTGTAAACGAAACAGGAGTAGTGAGCAGCTCTTTCTACATGGCCGAACCTGGCAACCCGCCAGTCTGGCCGTAGCGCTGAAAAACTTGTTGTTGTCTGGGAAAATGGCGTCAAACGTAGAGGCCCCGGAGCGCTGGTACCTCGCCCTTTTAGGCTTTGCGGAGCATTTCCGAACTTCCAGTCCGCCTAAAATACGACTCTGTGTGCACTGTCTACAGGCCGTGTTTCAGTTTAAGCCCCCGCAGAGGATCGAAGCTAGAACACATCTTCAGCTTGGCTCGGTTCTCTACCACCACACCAAGAACAGCGAGCTGGCCCGCAACCACTTGGAGAAAGCGGTGAGGGACGTTTGATCTGGGAAAGAGCGGGGATGCTGCGGAGAAGGGGACGGGTGTAGGCCGCAGGGAGCGAAAACGGTGAACGGCGGAAGTCTTTAAATCGCTGTTTATTCGGGAAGGTTTGATTCGTAAATGGATGAAGAAATAACGTCAGTTCGAGTCTGATTTGATCAGCTGTTTGTTAGATAGCCATCCGAGTCTTAGACTTTCGCTCTTTCTTTGCTGTTAGCTTAAAAAGCTACTATCAGCGTTTAATGTTGTCAGAAACGACAGCAAATGCGACGCCGCCAACATTTTCTGTCTTTTGCTTTGCAGTGGTATATATCTCAGCAAGTTCCTCAGTTTGAAGATGTCAAGTTTGAAGCTGCCAGCATTTTGTCAGAACTCTTTTGCCAACAGGTAAGCCATTCTAATTCAAGGTAAGGTCATTATAATTTTTGTTTGTTTTTTACTGCTTATCGTAGGACATTTTAATTTCTGTATTTAAAAAAACAGATATGCCTTGTGGTCTTTTTTTATTGACTTTTAACTATTGATTCTGCAAATCGATTTTCAGAATTTGGTGGACTCTGCAAAACCCCTGCTGCGCAAAGCCATCCAGATTTCACAACAAACACCATACTGGCACTGCAGATTGTTGTTCCAGCTAGCGGTATGTATTAAGTACAATGAGTATCAATGTTTCCCCCTAGGGTATTACTTTACTCATGCGAGATATTTTGATAAGCAGGTATAATAGTGTTCTCTTAATATTAATAAACGTAATAAATCCAATATGAGAGCTTTTTGAACTATATTGGTTAGAGTCTAGAGTTTGTGTCTATAATAAAAAAAAACAAAAGCAAAACGTCCCAGTAGATAACTGTGTTCTTTCATTGTTTTCATTTATTCATTGTTTATTAATTGTGTCTCTTAGCAACTTCATACACTGGAGAAAGACTTGGTGTCAGCATGTGACCTTTTGGGAGTTGGAGCTGAGTACGCCCGAGTGGTGGGCTCCGAATATACCAGGTAAATAGATGTACCTGTCTTCTGTTAATTGCATTTAAGGCTTTGAGCGGTTGAGCTGGCGGTTTCTTAGGTCTCCTAAAAAGTTTAGTCATGAGAAAGTGGACTATGAAACTCTTGACAACACAGCTGACACAGTCCTACTTTGCCACAGACACTGGTGCGTAATAGAGGAAATGTCATACATGTTTGTCAGATTTTTATATTTAAACTCTATGTTTGTGTTCAGTTTACTTTGATGATGTAAACAATATACAGGAGTTCATTTACCAAAGAATTATGCAAAATAATGCCAAATACATTTCATAATCGCTTAACCTGTTCTGAGTCACGTCCATATTTGCTCAGACATAGAAACAGGTATTGTGTTAAGAGAAATAAAGTATTAGTGAAGTAAGGAAACAAAAATCAGATTGTCTGTCTTCCTAAACTCACCTGACTTGTTCTTGCTTTTTAGGGCATTGTTTCTCCTTAGTAAAGGGATGGTGAGTATTTTGTCATACTTCACTTTGTAGGGCTATAGAGTTGTAATACACACTATATTAAATAGTGCATACAATAACAGTTTGTTTTGTTGTTGTTTTGTTTCAGGGTTTATTTGGTTGTTTTTAACACAATGCTAATGGCATTACAGTGCAAGTTAAAATAAACAAAAAGCATTTTTGATTGTGTTAATATTGTCCAATCTTCTAGTTGCTGCTAATGGAGAGGAAGCTTGGGGAGGTGCATCCTCTTCTCACACTATGTGGAACTATAGTGGAAAACTGGCAGGGAAACCCAATCCAGAAGGAGTCTCTGAGGGTCTTCTTCCTTGTGCTACAGGTCACACACTACCTGGATGCTGGACAGGTAAGAGGAAATTATGTTAAGCAAAAACACTTGGAAAAACAAGGCTTGCTACTCTGCAATTATTCTGTTATCTGAATAAATGTGGAGGGAGCCATAACTTCAACTTTAGTGGTTATTAGGACATAAAAACTGTGTGTATCGAGTCATCTGTTACATTTAATTAAAAACTAGTAAATAAGGTTTAAAAGCTTGTTAAAGCCTTACTAAACGCTCAGTCCTGAATGCTGACATTATAAGTGTTTCTGTGTTATCCCACCAGAGCACTGGGATAAGATTTATTTAATGGTTACGGTAACAAAACTGAAACAAAACTCAACAAATGCCTGCCCATTGCACAGACTGCATGCATGGGTCAGTGCAATTGACAGCTGCAGTATTTACCGTTTCAGAGTCCTGCCAGAGATTTCTGTTGCAGATTATTTTTAAGCTTTGTAAGCTATGTTTCTCCTGTAACATCGGTAGGATTATGAAAGTTTTAATGTTCATGCATTCAAATGTTGATTTTAGTGGCATAGGTAGAGGTATAACTGTGTGCTAAATGCTACAAAGAGATATGACGGATATTAATGAACATTTCCAGGTGAAGAGCGTGAAGCCGTGTTTGAAGCAGCTGCAGCAGTGTATCCAAACCATCTCCACACTCCATGATGATGAGATTCTGCCGAGCAACCCAGCTGACTTGTTCCACTGGCTGCCCAAGGAACATATGTGTGTCCTCGTATATTTGGTAATGGCGCGTTTCTTTCCGTAACTTGAAATTCGCTTAAAGTTTTAACCTCAGCATGACTTTTAGAGGTTGGTTTTTTATTTTTAATGTATATAGTCCGTTTTGGTTGTCCTCCAGTTTATGACCCTGTTTACACTTGGCTTTAAGTGGCTGATTGTGATGTGTTTGCATCTTGGGGAGTCGCATCACAAATGGGTTTTAGAAAAGTGTAAATTACCACAAATATGCAATATTTTTTTTTATTTTTTTTATATTCGCTTCATTTACTTAAACCATTTGCCAGAGTGGACTGGAACACATATAACCGTATATATTTTGTAGTATAAACACTATTAAGTCTCCAAAAAGGACATAAGAGGAAAATCTGTGATAAATGTGGGATCTAATGATCCTTATTTGTCTTGTTTCTGCACTCCTTTGAAGGTTGCAAAAAAATTTTATTGTAAAAGTTTGATTACCAATAAATCTAGTCCTTGACCAGTGATAGCCAGACGTTAAAACTCCACAGGAAAAACTCCTAATGCGTCAGTGGAACACATGATAGCAAGAGATTTAAATATTCTGTCTGCTTGTAGTCAGATGGCCTGAGATCGTTAACAGTCCAAGGCAAACATCTGCTGTAAAATGTCTTTCAACTGCTGACAGATATTTCCAGCTGGTTTGCAGGTAATTTGTAGTTTTAATTTGCAGTGGAAACGCAACTACATTTAAAAATGAAGATATCAAAAGCGTAGAGCTTGAAAGCTTCTGGGACTACAGTTTGGGGAGAGGGAACCACCCCCCAATATTAGTGCTTTGCAAGGGATTTGACTGTACTGTTAACTGTATTTTCTTTTCATTTTACAGGTGACAGTCATGCACTCCATGCAAGCAGGCTATCTGGAGAAAGCCCAGAAGTACACAGACAAAGCTCTTATGCAACTAGAGAAGCTAAAAAGTGAGTTAAAATATTCACACTGTTTATAAAACAAACAGAAAACACACCTGTACACTACACTACTACCTTTGTAAATTTTGTCCTTGTGTCTTTTATGCTCCAGTGTTGGACTGCAGCCCTATCCTATCTACCTTTCAAGTCATTCTACTGGAACACATAATCATGTGCCGACTTGTCACAGGCCACAAGGCCACTGCATTACAAGAGGTATATTGTTTCTGTTTCTATGGCCAGTTATTGAGTTTTGTTTTCTATTTAAAGCATGCTATTATCCTTCCTTCCTTTATCCCTGAACTCTTCTAGTGTATCTTTACAGAATTCACTGTTCGAAAGAATGTTTTTATTTTTTATCTTTAATTGGACCCTTGGTGCAGCCCCTCTGTGCGTCCTCTATATGAAGCAAGCCATTTGAAAACCACCTTCAC